TTTTTTTTTTTGGTTCTGTTTTTTTTTTGTTGTTATTGTTTTTCTCCTGCCTGGGGGTGGCCCTCGCGCCTGGGATTTTTTGTGCCTCGGCAGCACCGGAAACGGCCTCCCCGCTCCTCCTCAGCGACTCTTCCAAGCCCGAATCTTAAAAGCGGACCTAACTAAAACGTGCGTCAAGGAAGGCGGCTCACTGCCCGGTCTAAACGCCAGGAGCAAGTTCTCAGGGTAGAGCAACCCCGGGCCCATGCCAGGCTGGCCAAGCCGCTGCCGTCCTCTCTGCCGGGGCTGTCGGGCTCTTCTCTCCGCCTCGGCTTCGCTCTCTTCTTTTGCTTCTAGCTGTAGTGGGGAGTCGCTTGTCTGACGATCTCGTTATTTGTCGTTATCTTTTTCTTTCCTCCCTCCGTCTTTCCTTCCCTGTGGGGCTGTCCTGTAGGAGAGCGCTGCCTTGGCAGACAGGCTCATCCAGGTATCGTAAAGCCGTTCTTTCGTCTCCGCTCACTTTGCCGTTTCGCTTTCCTCCAGCCCAGAAACCTACTGCTCTTCTGCGACGCTCGCTTTTTCCTCGCTTCTCTTCCGGCAGCGGAAAAACCCGCTTCCCCACTTGGGGCTGGGCGCTCCCTCTAGCACGGCACGGCACGGCCGCCTTTCGGCTCTCGCCGCCCCGGGCATTGCGATTTATTCGGAAATCCCCCCCTCCCCGGCCCGGCAGCGGGTCTGTAACCCCCTGGGCCACCTGGTTTTAACCACCTAAGCACGGAGGTGAAGCTTAAACCACCACCGGGCTAGCTCGTCACGGGGTGCCCAGGGACAAACTTGGCTAAAAGCCGGGCTCGATCCTGCCCCCAGCTGGCTGCAGATTGAGTTTAAAAGTGGTTTTAATTAATTTTACCCCCGTGTAGGCGAAGGAAAGAGGAACAAAGCTGTTTCCCCCTACTCTGCCACAGCTCACAAGCAGCCTGGGGCCAGAGGGGAGGAAAAAAACCCTCTGCGGGAAGCGGGCGCTCGCCTTCCCGGGGCTTGGCAGTGACGGGCGCGTGTCCCCTCTTGGTGGCAGGGCCAGGTGACACGAGCGCAGGAGGCGGAGGAGAACTACATCATCAAGCGAGAGCTGGCAGTGGTGAAGCAGCAGTGCAGCTCGGCCACGGAGAACCTGCAGCGAGCCCAGAGCACCATCCGTGAGCTGCAGGACCAGCAGGTCGGTTCCCGGTGCCTCGCGGAGCGGGTGCCCGAATCCCTTCCCCGTTGTCCCTTCCCAGCCACTATCCATTCGGGGACGTGCCACGAGCATGTCGGGGCTTGGCGGGGGCCTCGCTCCCCCTTCGCTTTTGGCGCCGCTGGCTGGTGCTTGATGTGCGCCCACCCGCTCTCGCAGGGCAACCCGCGCTTCACGGAGGAGTTCGTCACCCACCTGGAGACAGAGCTGGAGCAGTCGCGGCTGCGGGAGACCGAAACCCTCAGCGCCCTCAAAGAGATGCAGGACAAAGTGCTGGACATGGAGAAGGTAGGGGGGCAAGGGAGCAGGATTTCGTCCGAGTGTCAGTGTTTCAGGGGTCTGCCGTGAGTGTTGGTGTCTCAGGAGTCTCTTGTCCTGGCGTCCCCCATCTTGGGGAATCTCCAGGATTTTGGGAGTCTCCCATGAGTGTTGGCATCTCAGGGGTCTCCCATCCTGGTGTCCTGTGAGTATCAGTGTCTTGAGGGTCTCCCACCCAGCATCCTGCAAGTGTTGGCACCTCGAGGGTCTCTGGTCCCATGAGCGTCAGCATCTCAGGGGTCTCCCGTGAACATCGACATCTTGGGGGTCTCCATTCCTAGTGTCCTGTGAGTGTCAGTGTCTCAGGAATCTCCTGCCAGGGTGTTGTGTGAACATCAGGGTCTTGGGGAATGTCCTATGAGCATTGGTGTCTCAGAGATTTCCCATCCCAGTGTCTCACAAGCATCAGTGTCTTGGGGGTCCCCAGTGTCTCAGGGATCTCCCATCCTGCTGTCCTATGGGTGTCAGTGTCTCAGGGGTCTCCTGCAAGCAGTGGCATCCAAGCATAAACGTCAGTGTCTTGGAGATCTCTGGTCCCAGTGTCCCACAGGGATCTCCTGGCACAACATGGCCCAGGCATCAGTGTCTCGGGGATCTTCTACCTGGCGTCCCATGAGTGTTGGTGTCTCGGGGATCTCCATGAGCATCAGTGTCTCAGGGATCTTCTGTCATGGTGCTGCATGAGCATCAGTGTCTCGGGGATCTCCCATCCCAGGATCCCATGAGTGTCTACGTCTTGAGGGTCTCCTGCAAGCGTCGGCATCTCGGGGGTCTCCAACCCTGATGCGTGCGAGTGTTGGTGTCTCAGGGATCTCTTGGCCTGATGTCCTGCATCTCGAGGATCTCCGGCTGTGGCATTGCATGAGCGTTGGTGTCTCAGGCTCTCCGGCATCATGGGGATCTTTCGTTGCTGGGTCACATCAGCATCAGTGTCTTGGGGGGGTCTCTTGTGAGCATCCTCGTCTCGAGGGTCACCATCTCTGGTGTCACACAAGTGTCGGTGTCTCAGGGATCTCTCCTGGCATCATGTGTCTCGGGGATTTCTGGCCCCAGCATCACACAAGCGTCGGCATTTTGGGGCTCTCCGGTCCCAGTGTCCCATGAGCATTGGCATTGCAGGGACCTCCTGCCCAATCGTCAGCATCTCAGGGATCATCCCAACTGGTGTCCCATGAGCAACGGTGTCTTGGGGGTCTCATTCTGTGGTGTCACATGAGTGTTGGTGTCTTGGGGATCTCTTATCCTGGTGTCCTGCATCTTGGGGTTCTCTGGCCTCAGCATTGCATGAGCGTTGGTGTCTTGGGGGGTCTCCCGGAAGCATCGATATCTCGGGGATCTCCCATCTTGGTGTCTCACAAGTGCTGGCATCTCAGGGGTCTCCAGCCCCAGTGTCACCTGAACGTCAGGGTCTCAGGGCTCTCCCATCAGGCATCGTGGCAGTCACCTGAACGTTGCCGTCTTGAGGGCCTCCAGCCCTGGTTTCATCTGAATGTCAGGTTCTCGAGGCGCTCTCACCCAGTGTCACAGGGGTCTCCAGCCTCCGTGTCACCCAAACTTCAGGGCGTTGGGGCTCTCCTGCCTGGCATCCCGTAAGTGTCCCCTGCTGCAGGGTGCCTGTGCCGACGCCGCGGCTCCACTCTCACCCACAGAGGAACAGCCTGCTCCCGGACGAGAACAACGTGGCCCGCTTGCAGGAGGAGCTCAAGGCGCTGAAGGTGCGCGAGGCTGAGGCTGTGAAGTCACTGAAGGAGCTGCAGCAGCAGGTCAAGGATCTCAACGACACCTGGCAGGTAAGGCCAGGCCCCGGGGCCGCCATTCACCCTGGCTGCCAGGCAAGGGCACCTCGGCCCTCACCCGAACGCCTGGGTCCTCTCTGCCCTAGGCTCAGCTGGCGCGGGCCAGCGGGCGCTGGAAGGATTCGCCCCGCAAGAACAACATCAACGAGCTGCAGGACGAGCTGATGACGACGCGCCTGCGAGAGACGCAGGCCCAGGCTGAGCTGCGCGAGCTGCGGCCGGGGGGGGCTGGAACCCGAGGTGAGGGGCCCCCCGAGCCGAGGACGGGGTTGAAAAAGCAGAGCAAGACCACCGGGATCGTCAGGGATGGAGGCGTGGGGTGAAGCCGAGGGTGCAGAGCACCCATGGATGCCACGAGGAGGTGCCATGCCACCTTCCAAGCATCCTCTGGTGCCCGCAGGACCAGATTTTTCTGAACCGGACAGAGCAGGAGTGCAGGGGGCTGCAGGAGAAGCTGCAGTACGTCACGGCCCAGAACAAGGGGCTCCAGACCCAGCTGAGCGAGACCAAGCGCAAGCACGCCGAATCCGAGTGCAAGGTGGGCTGCCCGACATCCCCTCCGACGGGGTCCCGGTGTCCCCTCCGACAGGGTCTCAGTGCCCTGCCCAAGGATAGCCCCATGTCTCCTCCTACGAGGTCCTGATGTGCCACGCAAGGGCAAGCCAGTGTCCCCTCTGATTGGGTACCAACGGCCAGCTCAAGGGCAAAGCAATGTACCCTCCAGTGGGGTCCTGATGTCCCCTCCAACGGGGTCCCAACACCCTGCACAAGGATGACCCAATGTCCCCTCCAACAGGGTCCCAGTGTCCCCTCCAGTGGGACCCCAACGTCCCATCCAGTGGGATCCCATGGTCCTCCCAAAATGGGGCCCCCCTCGCTCCTCCAATGGGGTCCTGATGTCCCCTCTGACAGGGTCCCAGGGTTCTGTCCAAGGGCAAGCCAGTGTCCCTTCTCACAGGGACCCCTAAGACAGGGTCCCCAGGCAGTGTCCTGCCCAAGGATGACCCAATGTCCCCGCCAGTGGGGTCCTAATGTCTCCTCCAATGGGGTCCGAACACCCTATCCAAGGGCGACTCAGTGTCCCCTCTGATGGGGTCCTAGTGGCCTGCCCAAGAATGACTCAATATCCTCTCTGAAGAGGTCACATCACCCCTTTCATGGTGTCCTGATGTCCTCTCCAATGGGGTCTCCAGCATGCTTTCCAAGGGCAACCCAATGTCCCCTCCAGCTGGGTCCCGATGTCCCCTCCAACAGTGTCCCCTCTGACTGGGTCCTATGGTCCCCCACAATGGGGTCCCCTCACCCCTTTGATGGTGTTCTGACATCTCCTCCGATAGGGTCCCAGTATCCCCTCCAATGGGGTCCCAGCATCCCACCCAAGGGCAAGACAGTGTCCCCTCTGACAGTGTCCCCTCAGCCCCCCAAGGGGGACCCTAACACCCTTCTTTCCTGTTGGAAAGCCCCAGAGAACAGCAGTTTGGGGGTGAGTCAGTGGGTGGAGGATACAGCAACACCCTGGCAAAGCAGGGCCACTCGTGGGGTGGCCCCTGACGTCCTCAACGTCCCTGATGTCCCTGGCAGAGCAAGGAGGAGGTGATGGCAGTGCGGCTGCGTGAGGCCGACAGCATGGCGGCGGTGGCCGAGATGCGGCAGCGCATCGCCGAGCTGGAGATCCAGGTGAGGGCCGGGGAGGAGGACAAGGACGCGGGGGACGGCCACCGCTGGGGAGGGCCACTGCCAGGGCCACCGCAGGGCGCTCACCCCCAGCCCCATGTCCCCGTAGAGGGAAGAGGGCATGATCCAGGGCCAGCTCAACAACTCGGACGCCTCGCAATACATCCGCGAGCTCAAGGACCACATCGACGAGCTCAAGGCCGAGGTAAGGCCCTGCCTAGGCCTCCCCCGAGCACCCATGGGTGCCCTCAGGCACTCATGCACCCATGTGCACCCACAGGTACCTTTGAGTGGCCGTGTGAGCCCATGGGCTCCCACAGATACTCTTGGGCGCCCATGGGCACCCTCAGGCACCCTTGGGTACCCCTGGGCACCTGCAGGCATCCCCAGGTACCCTTGGACACCTTCAGGCACTCTTGGGCACCCCCGGGCACCTACAGGCATCCCCAGGCACCCATGGACACGTGCAGGCACCCATGAGCAGCCTCCAGGACCCACGGGCACCCCAGGCCTATGGGTGCCCTAGGACGCCCATGAGCACCTGTGGGCATTCCCGGGCACCTCTGGGGAGTCACTGGACACCTCTGGGGACATGGCCAGGGCTGGCCTCAAACGTTCTCAAGCCCTGGCACAGCCAGGGCTGGTCCCCTCTGTCCCCGAATGGGGCCATGCTGTGGGTGGGCACCATCGACGATGTTCCCCCGGGGCCATGTGGCACGGTGCTGTCCTGTGTCCCCCATCCCCCTGTCCTTCATCCCATGTCCCTTGTCCCCATGTCCCATGTTATGTCTCCATGTCCCTGTGTCATGTCTCCTGTCACTGTGTGATGTCCCCATGCCTGTGCCCATACCTGTCCCCATGTCCCTGTGCCTGTCCCATATCCCCATGCCTGTCCCATGTGTACTGTCCCCATGTTCCTGTGCCATGTCCCATGTCTCCCCTATGCCACATCCCCTGTCCCCATGCCTGTCCCATGTCCCCTGTCCCTCATCCCTGTCCCATGTCCCCAATACACATCTCCTGTCCTCATGTCCCTGCGCCTGTCCCATGTCCCCGATCCCGTATCTGCTGTTCCATATCCTTGTGCCTCTTCCATGTCCCCTCTCCCCACATGTGTCCCCACAGATCCGACTGCTGAAGGGCCCGAAGGCATTCGGCGAGGCGCTGGGCTTCGACAGCATCCACATCGTGCGGCACCTGGCGGACGAGGACTCGCTGGCCTCATCGGATGAGGAGCTGGCACCGGCGCCCTTCTCCCTGCCGCCCCGTGGCTTCC